TAATGATACCAGAATAAAAAACATATATGATTTATATTAGAAGTTATGCCCTATTTACAGTATGGGTTTTAATAGAAAATGTCACAATTTTCATGCAATATACTCTAAATTTTCTTTTGAAAAACTCTAGTATGCACCACAAATTAACAAGCGTCATAATCACATTTTGCAGTACTAAATACATATATGTATGTACTGTACACTACAACAACCATGCCAGACAGCGATTATAAACAGGCTCTGATACCACATGATAAACATTTTTCATTTATATCAATAAACATGTATATAACCAAACATATAAATTTCATATACATGTTCATATAAAAATGCAGAGGAAATGTAAACCCCGTGTTATTATTCCGATGCCCTAAGGTATGAAATTTACCTTTTCAAGTATTTTCTTTTTTGAATGGAATGGTAAAATGGTCAATTTACATGTATTTCGAGATGTGGCTATTATAAAGTGTAAATGGTGATGTCATTGAAGAGAAATGAGGGTAGAATGGTCATAAAGTCTATTGATATGATTAAATGGCGTAAACGGTAACCAAGGGTATAATGGTCTTTTCATACAAATCCATATAAAATAAGTATCTATAAAAGTGCACCAAGGGTAAAATAGTCATTTATCTAATGGGATTACTTAATTGTTAAGTGTTTTAAAGAAGTCAAATGGCACTAAATGAGTGCTAATCATTATGTTGTGGTAGAAATGACCAAAACGCCCTTATATGAAAAATTTATGCCAAATGACCCTTATATCTAACTTTTATTGACCAATCACATTAGAATAACAATGGAATAAATATTTACAAGGTTTTAAGAGAGAGTAGTCGGCCTTGTACACCCCAAATGCATCATCTTCTTCTTCATCTCTCACATCTACCATAAAAGCCATTAATCCAAGCATTTTATTCTCAAATTTTCTTAGGATTTCAAGTTGATTTTCAAAGGAGATTACCATCCACACTTAAAGAACTTCAATTTCAAGGTTTAAGGTGAGTTTCAAAACCCTAGTTTTTTTGATCTTCAAGTTAAAAGAGAAATTCATAGGTGGTTATGTGTGTAAGGTAGAAAGGGTGAACCTTTGGAGCTAAGGAGAAGTGTCTTTGTGCTTTGAATACTAAGGTAAGAAAAAAAAATCTCCCTTATGACTACAATTGATAACACGTAGGGTTTATGAAACTTACATTTATTTATGTTAATATGAGTGTGAGGCTATGTTTTGGTTATGGATTGTTTAAATGGGTGTGTTGATTGGTGTATGTATGCATATGGAGGATGATTATGCCAATTAAGAGATTTGTAGTTGGACGATGTTTTGGCACTTTTTGGTTCTGTAAAAAGGGATATTTTTATGGCCTTTTATACTTAGAATGATATGGCAAATGATATGAATATGCAAATGAAGGTGACATGGTTAAAATGAATAGAATTTGGATTTGGCTTTTTAGGACGTATACTGTACATGCTTCACTGAATCGGTTATAACCGAAGTTATAGAAGTCCGATTGAGTTGATTCTTAAAGTGTTAAAAATTTGAGAAATAGACCTAAATCTTTTATGCTTTAGGCAAAAATCAATTCGAATTGGAAGATAAGAGAAAAATTTCTTGAAAAGTGACGAACTATATGGCATCTACCTTCTTAATGGAAATTCCCATTTGTTTTTTAATTCTAATAAACCCCTGAATAATCTTACTATTGAAATTCCTTGTATTGTATGATAAATTGAATGAATTAAGTTAAGAAGTTTAGTAGGAGAATATAGTATGATTGAGCATGGGAGATGTTAGTCTATATGTTTGCATTCATAATGGTAATGCGTATAGCTTATTTAGTGGTCTTATGAAAAAAAATTATGAAATGTTAAAGAATGAATTCCATGAGTCTCTTGAGGTATAAACCAAGATCAGAGGAATTGAATTCTTATGGAAACCATGAGTCCTTTGAGGTGACGACCAAGAACAAGGTAATGGTTCAAATGAATCCGATCGGATAACAAAGACTAATGAAACCATCAAGTATAAAGACAAAAGAAATAAGCATGCCATGTACATGAATATTTCATAAGTCATATATGTTCTATGTTATAGTATGTATGGTTATGTTATGACTTATGTTTATGAGAAAAGTCCAAAGTGTATGATATGTTTTATGAACTTGTTATGTCAAAGAATGAAGGTCATGTTTTGTAGGTAGGTAAGGTCCTAAGTAATATACTAGTATAATGAACCTTAATAGTTTATAAATGACCATATTCCCTTACTGAGCGATTAGCGCTCACCCCACGAAATGTTTTAAAATGTTTTGCAGGTAAGGATTAAGGCATGAAGCTGGGAGAGAATTCCGAGGGACGCTATGAGCATCAAGGGATGTTTTAATAATGACTGTTGAATGGTTTTGCTAGTATTTAGTGTAGTAATTATGTTCATATTTCATAATGCAGTAAATATTTCCATGTTCTATAATGGAGTAAATATGTTGTGTTAATAAAGGAAATCAAATTGCTAGTAAATTTTGTAAAAGTATGTATGTTCTAGTAAGTATTACTATGGATTTCATAATTTACTTCAAGAAAGGAAATTATATTTTTTGATTTATACAATGAACTTATTATAGTTTAGAAAATAAATTAAACAAACAAATATATATAAACTACAAGTTTATTTTTTAAATAGGATTTTAAAATAAACTTCTTTTCTAGGCGTGCGTTTTCTAGGTTCTCAATGGCCAAAGGATACTTAGGAAATACCCGGGTAGGGAGGGGTTTTACAAGAAATATACACTAACCTCCCGCCATAACAATTTGTTGTTGTTGTCTTTTTTAAAGTTTATAGATTCCTCCAATGCACTGCAATTTCTCAGAACGATGGTTTTTGGGAATATCAGATAATTAATTGTGTGTATTGGGGACCTGTAACTGCTCTATTTTAAAATACACAAAAGTCTTTCCATCAAAGACAACTGCTCAACTGCTAAGTATCTACTCAGCAGTTAATTATTTATAAAACTACAGTTTAAAAGTGTAGGACGAAAATAGTAATTTTAGTCAGTGAATTTTATTTAATTGAAATTCTAACAATTATTCCTCACAAAAAAAAAAAAAAAAAAAAAAAAATCTTAACTATTATATGACAAGCAATTATATAGTAATTTTATCTTTCATAAAGGATAACTTGAAAGTAAATTAGCTCATTATGTTTTCATGTATGATTCTTTTTTCTATTAAAAAAGCTTCTTCTACAATCGATGTTCATAAAAAAAAAAGTTATATGTTTACCTATTTTTTAGAGAAAAAATTCAACCTTTCCCAAAATAAAATTTTGGTTTCGCCTTAGAGTATGAGCTTGTTTTGTGTTGATATATAAATCTGCAACAACTAGAGTGATCCGATTGACCTTGGTGGAATCGGAACTGGTGTGTGCGTGATTACAGATAACCAGCAATGAATGAACAATGAATGCAGTAAAGAAAATGGGAAAAAAAATTTTAAAGTGGTTCGGCGAGATAAACTCTTAAGCCTACGTCAACTGTTTTTTATATTTGCTGTGAGAGCTTACAATAGTAATTCTAGGAATATTTTCCAACCTCTTTATCATTGTTTGAGGGGTTTATATATAGAGTTTGTACAAAGGAAAAAGCAAAAATAAATGGATCACAATTGAATTTAAATGAAACTTCGATATTCTCGCAATTGGGCATTGTGATTGTACAAAGATTGCTATCAATCTCATCCCTTCTGAGATATCTGAGATCTAAAGTTATTTGGGAATTGGTTGAACGACTATGCGGATTGTTTACGACTAGCTTGTGTTGGGTCGAGTTGTAGCTCGACGAGCTTATGCTAGGTCGAACAGTCGGCGGAGTCCAACTGGTTTTGGATCAGGCTATAATCTCACGATACTCTAAGCTTGATGGAAAAATCACACACAACATTTTGTTTTATATATAAATATGTTAAGAATGAAATGTTTGATCCTAGTTTAGTATTGTTTCAAATTCTAGCACTATATTTATAATATGTTCGATAGGGTGGTTGTTTTGTTTTCATTACAACCTCATTCAAGTATTATGGTGTCTAAAGATGAATTCCTTTTGAATGCATTTTTTCCGTATAAAACATACCAATTACGGTTACTGTTTACGTTTATATGTTGAATATATATTATTACTTTGATACTTTCGTTAATTGTGATGATGTTATTTATTGCAACTCAACGTTTTTGTGTTGGGAATTGGTTACATATAAACTATTTTATGTTAGTGGTATAATGTGATATTACAATTTTTAGTATGTCAACCAAATGAAACCAATTGTTCTTTTGTTGACATACAACGAAAATTCTAATGATTCATCCTATAGCCCCTGATTATCGCAATGCATGTTGGCATTGCTTAGGTTAATATTACGAAACCATACTCATATAATTTCAATGACTCATTGTAATTAACTAAATATATCTTATATACACGAAATTAGTAAATCTAACTAGTAGATCTTGGATTGGTAATACGAACAGATTGTTCAATGAATTATAAATTTCATCTATAGGTATAATAATTTGTGGGTGTTGAATTAAAGTAAATGCTTTAGCTCCGTTTATAATCTTGAGAATTTTGGCGAATTGTTTATGACTCTTGAATGTATTACTCAAGATAACTTGAGTTTAAATCCCTATAACTATTAATAAGGGGTAGTCACTGGAGACTTATCTGGTTGTTAACTTCAAATTCTTGGAAGATTAATTGAGGTACCTGTAAACTGACTCGAACACCCTGAATACTAAAAAAAAAAATAGTTAAATTCAATTAAAACACCTGTTTGTTCTAACCATTAATATATATTTCTAATATTAATAAATTAATGAAAATGGTTATGATGGGCTCAAGTATCTAAGTCTGAGCCCATTATTAGGGGGTCATAGCCCATTAGAGCGAAAAAGTAATTGGATCAAACAAAAGTAGGAAATGCAGGTTCACTCGGCAGCGGGCACAGCTGAGCCTGAAACCACGCACTCATCCTATTCAAAATTCCAAAAGCCAAAGCGTACGGAAGAAACGGGAGTGGGCTGAGGGTGAGTGGATATTGTGATAGTGGTTGGCGACGATCGTGGCGGAGTAGTTGATTACCTGTGTGTGCGCACTTCACACTCCACCCCCCCTGCGCACTTTAGCATCTCCCTCCGTTAATCCTTACATTATGACCACCTCTCCTCTCCTCACTTACGCCCCATTCTTCTTATTCTTCTTCTATTACTTTCATCATCATCATTATGTCAACTCCTGCTACACCCACCGCCACTCGTCGGGTCCCACCGCCCTGCTGGACCCATGATGAAACCCTAGCCCTCATCAACGCTTACTCTACCCGATGGCTCTCACTCAACCGCGGCAACCTCCGTACCTCCGATTGGGTCGCCGTCTCCTCTGACGTTTCCGCTGCTAATCTCGCTGCGCCCAAGTCCTCCATTCAGTGCCGCCACAAGATCGAGAAGTTACGCAAACGCTACCGTTCTGAGAAACAGCGCTCCCTCGCGGCTCCAGGTCGCTTCGTTTCTTCTTGGGACCTTTTTCCTTTGTTGGATTCTATGAATTTTGCCTCATCCTCAACCGCTGTATTTAATAACCGAGATCGTGATATTTTCGATCAGAAGATTGCCGATGGTGATGGGTTTCGCTTAAAAACTGTGAATGAGAAGAAGTCGATGAGCAAATATGGGAAAATGGACGATGATTTGAATCAAGGTTTGGGTTTTAATCGTGATTTAGAACGTGGGTTTTTAAGGAATTATGGAAAGATTGATTTTGAGGATGATGAGTTTGGAGGTGGAATTGGTTTAAAAATTTTAAGTGATGGTAATTTGGTTAATTTAGAGTCTAGGGCAAAGGATTACGTAGAGACTATTGGTGATTTGAGGTCCAATATTGGTTTTGATCGTGATTATGCAGTTGGGTTTGGTGTGAAAATGCAAGGTGATAGGAATTTTGTGGCTCATAGATTGAAAAGTTATAGGAAGATTGATGATTACAACATTGATGGGTTTCCTGTTGAAACCCTAGGTGATAGGATTTTGGTGCCACCGTCAGGGTTTAAGCCAAAAAATTATAGCAAGATTGATGGTAATTTTAACATTAATTCCTGTTCTGATCATGATGCTGATTATGTGGCTGGTAATGGAAGTGAGTATTATGCTAAAACCTTTCACGATGGGGATTTTGTGCCCTTGGGAAGCAGGTTGAAGAGTTATGGTAGTGTTGATAGGAATTTGAATTCCAGTGTCGGCTTTCATGGTGTAAATGAGTATGTCTCTTCCTCAAGAATGAAGTTTGGGAAGAAGAACGGAAGTGGTGGGGTTAAGAGAGGTTTAGATCCATTTGAGGAGTTGGTTTCGTCAATTACTCTTTTGACTGAAAGGTTTCTGAAGATGGAGAAGATGAAGATGGACATGGCTAGGGAGACTCAGAAATTACGGATGGAGACGGAGAGGAAACAAAACCAGATGATGCTTGAGTCACAGCAATATATTTTGGATGCTTTTTTTACAGGGTTGTCGGAAAACAAGAAGAAGAGGAAGGTGAAAGTGAAGGTAGAGGTAGTGTCACCTAACAGAATGGGGGATGGAGATGAGGTGTAAATGGGATGATGCTTGAATCATAACATTGGATTGTGGATAAGGAGGTTAGCTGATGCAATGAAGTAGCATTTTTTGTTCTTTTTTCAAATTTTCCTTGAAGAAGGGACACTTTGAATGGCGTTCCTTTGTCATCACATTAAGTTTTGGGATATGGTCCTATTTTCTGAAGGTGGGTGACAAATAGTTTGACCCGTAAGTTTTGACCTTTGTCCTGGCTATTTAATCTGAGTTTGTCAAATCCTACTTTCCTTCCTTCTTTTTAGACTAGTAGGATGTTAAAAAAAAAAAAAAAACTGATAAAATGAAGTGCATTTTCTTATGAATTTCATGTGTTTGTGTATATTACTTTTACCTTGCAATAGCATTCCTAAAGAATCATATGGAAGTTTTTGTGTTGGACATTGGTTTTAACTTAATGGTATAAATCCTTATTTGGACTGTGGAGTCATCACCTTTTATCTATGTACTAATTTCATTTTCTGTTGCCCTTTGTTAAAGTGTGGTATTTGCCATGAATTTTATTGACAATGTAGTTTGTATATAGCCAACCATGGGATTGAATACCACTTCTATTCTGAAATTAGAGTATTCCTTCAAACCAACATGGGTTTGTCACTTTTGATTGATTCTGGACCAGATTTGCGTTTGAAATTTGGTCAGTTCTATGTAGTTTTTGCTTAGCGAAGACAGTGACCTGCAGAAGTCCCAAATGCATGGCACCAGTCGGAAACTGCACTTAACCCCGAGGCAATTTGAGTTACATGTTTTATATGGCTCTGAGTTTTTAATTGTGTCCTAATGTGTTTATATACAGCTTTTCACCCTTAAATTTCTTTCATCTTTATGAAATTAGATCAACTTATTTATTAACAGTGATGATGAACCAAAATCAGAGGGTCTTCATTCTCCTAATATGAACGACTTTTCGTGAAGGGTACCATTTTTTCTTTTGTAGTATGTATACCAACTTAAATTTCCTCCTCAAATTTAGGGTTTGTCAAGGCACAACTTGTTGATGTTCATGTCTTGTATATCCTTCCTTTATGGATGTTTTCATAACTATTTTTGGGTGACATGAATTGACGCCAGTATGTCTAAAGATATTTTTTCGGAACTATAGCTATTGCAATTGCAGAAGTTATAACAATTCAGTAAGTTCTCTTAGACGTTATTGTAGTAGGAATCCATTTGTAAATAGCCTAGATTGTTAGGGCGAATTGAAGATAGTGTGGATAAACGTACGGGTTTAAGTTTGATTTCCTATCTAAACATGTGCGATTTAAGTGGGGGCCGTGGCAATGGGTTATTGCATTAGTCCTATTTGAAGATTAGTCGAGATGTACATAAGTTGACTCAAATACTTTGGTTAAAAAAAAAAAAAGTGATTTAAGTATGGATTTATTATTTTTGTAAGCCATTTCAAAATTTCACATTATGAGTTGTACTCCATCATCCTCTGCTAAAATGGTTTGTTGATAAAATCAGATTAGTGTTTGAAGTTTTGAACACAAGGACAGGCAGCAATCAAAGGTAAATGGGCATTAAATGGGGCACTCAGGTAAAGCAGATAACAGTTACACTGTTATTTTTGAGAAGTGGGGAAGAAAAATGAAAATAAAAAGTAAAAAAGAAATGTGAACGCAGCGTAAAAGATAGAAAATGCACATAAAATAGAGGGCCACTGATATGAAACAAACAATAAAAGGTAGGGTAGATGTGGAGTATGGTTTTGAACAGTGGCAGCAGCCAAGTACAACGTAATCTGATCCCACTAAAGGATTATTCAAGTCAATAATAGTATAACCCACTAACCTGATTCTTTTTTTAAATTTAATTAAAAAGGTCTGGCAATATGCTAAAAATTAAACAGGGAAGCCCATCTCGATATGGTTTTATTCTCCTGCTTAGATTGAATTAGCTACACTGTGGATATTGTTTAAATAATTTCACAACCGACAAGGTCAATGCCAATATTTTCCTCTCTAGCTAATGCTCAACTACGAAGAAATTTCCGGGCCATCTCCTTAAAAGGTTTTTGGTTCTAATCAATTGGGTAATCATACCTCCTTTATATAAGGGCAATCTCCTCTCTCTTTCTCTCAAAGATGACGATGGCAATTTCGAATGAGCTAGTAAATGACAAAATTGAGAATGTTAGCCTACAGTCTCCCAACAGGTTCAATATTGTATCCATCATTACATGATCATCTTTACGACTCCTTAAAAAAAGAGAATATTCTTGACATTTTGCTCCTTAACATGACAGATGGGAGAAAAGAAAAAGTGTCACTAAACAAAGATCAAAGACAAACTCTCTTTCTCTCTCAAATGCTTAATCTTTCATTTACTTCAGCCACACTTACATTTTATCCAGTTATTTGTGTCTCTATTTGATGGGAATCCCTTTTTGCTTACTAGGTATTCCATGGAAATTTACATTATAACAACCAACAACTAATCAGATCGAGATTACAAAAGAAAAATAAAGTAGATAGAAAGATGAAAAAAAAAAAAAAAAAGCATACAGTCGACACTTAATTAAAGCACTTGAATGTCTAGCTTAGTTTGTTGGATTGATGGGATTCGAGCTTCTTCAACACCCATTTTCATCTCTTCAGCTTCGTAAGTTGAGTGAACACCATAAAGCACATAAAACAAAGATATCAAACAAGCCCACACGGCAAATCTTTGGTAGGAAAGGATCTTAAGCGAGGTCATGAGGAAGACATTAAGGAAAATGGATATAACAGCTGGATATGGCATGAGTGGCACTGACCATTCTCCAGGATGGCTCAGACAGGGTACAGTGTAGTGGAAGAAGACTGTGATTATTACCATTAACCCACCAAACAGTGGCAAACCCCACCAATGTTGCCCAAATTTCAATGACATGGAGAAACCAAAAGCACTGAATGAGAGAATGAAGAGGAACAAGAGTGTGTGAGACGGGGGATTGTTGCTAATGATCACGTATCGACGGTAAATGAGAGCATTGGCAACTAGGTAGAACACCATGAGCGTGCTGATGGAGATCAAATCTAGCACAATTTGGAGGTCTGTGAAGAGTGAAATTGATGCTGTGCAAAGCCCTACGCAAGCATGGAAACAATATTTTAATATTATAGTGATAATAGTGGATGGATAAGATTAAAATTAATTTAGAAAAGATAGATAGACATACCCAAGAAGAGAGTGGCGTTGAATGGGGTTCCTGTGGAAGGATGCACCTTGGCCAACCACGAAGGCACTAGATGGGCCCTTCCAATAACACAAAGGTACCTGGCTTGGCCTAACATGGCAACCAAGAGAGAAGCAACAATTCCCAAGCTTGCTCCGGCCCCAACCACATTGCTCGCCCACTCCCAACCAATCTTTTGGAAAGCGATTGAAAATGATGCTGTTTTTATTATCTATATAATCATTTCAAGAATGATCACTAATTATTAGGAGTACTTGTAATTGCGGCAGGACTTTGGAAACAGTACATATTATGTTTTGGGTTTATTTGATCAAATTAAGATTTACTGACCTGGTTGTAAGGCACCATGACGCACAAAGATAAGGCCATGAGGCAATATAGAAGGGAAACAGTGAGAACAGAACCCAGAATGCCTACCGGTAGGCTTTTAGAAGGGTTTTGGATTTCTTCTGCCATGGTTGAAACTGAGTCATACCCGATATAGCTGAAGTAAACTATGGCTGCTCCATCAACAACGCCTTTAGCTCCAAAAGGAGCTAGCCCTCCTGGCTTTACCAAGTTTTCAGAACTCCCATTCCAAAAACCGGCAATTATGATGAATCCGAAGAAAATCACATGGAACACTGTCATAATAAGGTTCAGCAACGAGCTTTCCTTCGTACTGCAGTCCCAAAAACCATTCAAACTTCAATCACTTTCAAAACAACTTAAACAGTAAAGACCACAGAAAATAAAATAAGAAATAAAACCAATATGGTCTGTGAATACGGATTGTTAGAAAGATACATATAAAACAACAACAATATATTATTTACACTAATCGCAAAAATAATATATATTAAATCTATCATGAGGAAAAATCCAGTGATAGTAAACACTCAAAATCCAACATCAAGCTCCATTTCTCCAAAGCAATTAATAAACATAACTAAGCCAAATGGCCACTTGCCCTTTGTCAAAGATAGTTGAGTTACAGAAATCTGTCTGCACTCAATTTTTTTTTTTTTTTTTTTTTTTAAATACTAAATGGTGAACAAGGAAAAGGTAGTAAGAGATCAAACCTGTGGCACAGACAGAGAGTGAGAAGAAGAATAAGTGCGACAGCCGGTAAATCCAACATATTGTAACCCTTTACTAGTCCATCCACTTCTATTCTCCATGAGTTTGAATGATTTTCTCCAACAGCTTGGCAAAAATAGTCCGTAAAACTTCTAGCCACCGCAGCGTTTGACAATACATACTCCATCAGAATGTTTGCCCCGGCAAAATACCCAGCAAACTCTCCTATAAAATTCCAATATTTATAACCGCTGTAAGAAAATATAGATTGAAAGAAGAAAGATAAGAAAATATAATTTTTATATCTAAAGTCATTTAAGTTTGGTCATGTTCTTTTAAGGATTTGAGATTTAGCTCTGATAAGAATGCTGATAAATTAATTTAACAACAACGCATCAATTTGTATGAAGAGGTGATGATCATTTTTTATGGAAGGAGAAAGGCAAAAGTTAATGTTGTAACCGTCCGTACCAAAGGTCACTCGTAGATAACTGAAGGCGCCTCCGGCAACAGGAATTTGTACAGAAAATTCAGTGTAACACAAGGAGGAAAGAAGAGCTGATATTCCGGCAATAATATAAGATATGAAGACAGCAGGGCCGGAGATTTCAAGTGCCACAGGGCCAGTGGTGACAAAAACACCAACACCGAGCATGCCACCAACGCCAAGAGCCACTAAATCATACCACGTGAGTTTCCTTTTCATGTCTGCACCAGACCTTAACCTCACTTGATTTAGCTCTTGGTCTGGTGTCCATGTGGCTAGCATTCTCTTCCTGAGCCTGTGAGGGGTTTGGGAAAGAGATTGGAGATAGTTTGAGGAGAAATTAGTGTTGTTGACTGAAGATTGATGAATGTTTTCCATGTTTGAGAAAGACGAAATGAAATGAAGGTTTTGTTGTTGTTGGCTTTCCGTGCGAAGGTTGAGGAGAAGAGAGGGGTTTAAATATGCATTTTGGAGAGTCTATATTGCTAGATTCTTTTCCTAAAGGTCATGGAGAACCCCAAATAAGTGTCTCTATCTTTATTGAAAGTACCTAGTTGTCCTTGTAACGACAGTAAAATGACATTGAAACCCTTTTCTCTATCACTCGTACACAGCTTTTTAGGACCCCAAGACCCAAAGAGGTTTCTGTTGTGAAGCATGCAAAAGGAAAAAAGTAGAAAAAAAGGCCCAACCATTTTGAAATGAGCTTAATTGTAAGAGGAATCACTCAGTGAGGAAGGAGTTTGACCTGATCTTTTGGAATTTTCTCATCTTAAACTTTGAAAAGATGTGACAAGCATCCATACTTTGTTAAAGCTAACTTAAAGATTTCTTCACTAAAACTCAAGAATAATTAGACTTGATTCTTCCACAGTTGTAGCACAAAGAGTTGCTACATATGAACAGTTTGGATCATAACACATGAAAGTCTAAAATGGATTCATTTTAAGTTTGATCATCTTGTTTCCCTCTATGGAATCGTATACTGCATTTTCTTCTTTTATATAAATATAAGTTCCACCTGAACTTGGTACCACATCAGGGTTATCAAATTGATTTAATAAAAGTGAATTAAAAATGTTAAATGAAAATATCTCAATTATATACTTATCTATACTTATGCAGGTGTTGACATGTTATTGAAGGCATAGATGTGAGAGGTTAGCTTGTTGTATAATACTTGTTTAATTTATGTTAGATTTGTGTGAAAGTGAAGCATTCACTTCCATGGAATTAGGCTTTTATGTTATTCCAAAGTTTCTTATCAATCAACAGGAGTTAAATTTTAGTGGTATCAGTTTTCACCGGCCTAATGTAGAAAGTAAGTTGATGATTCAGTGGTTATCCTAAATTCTAAGTGTGGTAAGCAGATGATTTTGACAATGCCGTCCAGAATAAATTCAATCAGTTGGGTGATGCAATTGGCAATTAGTATTCCAAACATCTGGAATATATATATATATATATATCACTAACTAACCAACAATATCTCTTAATTAAGTTAAACAAAATTTGGGTTGCTTTACATGATTAATGTGCCAATTATCAGTCTAGTAACCTAGCCATATATATACCTAGCCCATACTCTCATAGGTATATGCCTTGCCGTTTATATATATCCCCAAATCTGAAATATAACCCTATCTCTATTTCACAAAACTTTTCAATAAAGCAATGCTTCTTATCTTGAAAAAGTTAGAATTTTTACTTCATTACATCCAATAGAAAGGATCCCGAAACATCTCTATGTAACTTTCATTGAAGAAAATGGAGGAGAATCAGTTGTGGCGGTTAATTTGTTATATGTTAAAAGTAGTACTAGAATATTATGTGTAGAAACACAAGTGGAGAGTTGGTGTTTTGTCTTTACCACAAAACAAGCTTATCTTTTTGCCCTATCTTTCTTTTATTTCTCTTCTTATTTAGCATCAATATATCAAGTCAAAAGCCACTCTCTTTGGTATGAATCAAATCCAATAATATTCTAGCTAACCTTATAGCTAGATGAAACAAAAAGATACACACTAACCATCGTCAACACCAAGTCTCGTTAGTAAATGTATATATAGGGCCCATGGATCATTTTCTCCTCTGAGATTTATATGGAATCGATTATTCAAGAATATTAGCAGGTTAAGACTGAGTGGTTCTTGATCTTTTACATGTATATGTGGCCATGGAAGACTCTGGTTTTGCTTGGATTAATAAGAGTACTATTTAGGTGTCAACATCCACTTGGATTTAGACACCACTCTATACATCTTGCTACTTGAGAATTGTGTAGAGTAATGGTTATCTAATCATGATTCCGAAATGAAAGTGGATATTGTTTGCTAGAGATCAAAATAATGGCTAATGGATGATTAGCGCCAACCAGGTTGCTAAAGAACACTGACGAAATCTATGGTTCATCCCTTTGCAAGAATAAATTGCTTCTTATGAGTACAATAAGATTTCTTGGAATTCTTTAAAATCTATTACAACAAAGTACTTATTGTGAACTAGAAGTTGCCTCCAAAGCACATTAATTTGTTCGCATTATCCGCAGCCGAAGACCGAGTCTGAAACAGGTGATGGTCATGATTTAATTGGACAATGCTGCGATTTTTGCGTGTGTTGTCGTTGGACTTAAAATGAACACGATCTAATCAGATAAGAATAATTAAAGTATTAAATAAAGAAGAAAAAAAGACTTTGTTTACTAGTTAATACACCATTGTTTGTCTTACCAATCCCAATTAAGAGCATTATAAGCACATATAGCTGACTTTGTATACAAATAATTTTCAGCACAATCACTTGCTTCTCACCACTGACGTCAGAACCATTACTACTCCAATCAATCTTTTTAAAAGTAAATTAGAATGTTTAACAAATATTTTAAATTTAAACTAAACCTTTTAAATTTCATATATAATAACTCTCTATAGTTATAATGGTGAGACTAAATTAATTTTATTATTATGAAAATATTATAACTTAATGCAGGTGTATTTACATAAATTTTTGTTTTAACTTTGTTATTCTTAGTGCAAGTGATATAAAGATAAAATATGCATGACTGTAATAATTAATTAATGGAGCATGTCAAATATAATGTATAGACATTAATAAAAACAATAGACATAGTTTCAAAAAACTAGCATATGTACCTAGAATTTTTTTGGCTTCAATAAGAAATTGTATGTGTTGGCAAGTTATTATGTACCTGCAAGTTCAAAGATATGATGACAATTTTAAAGCATAAATCATTATCTCAAACAACTTTAGATAAATATTTTTATTTTATCATAAACCTTTAATGTAAGATAACATATTTTTTTTGCAATATATAGATAATTATTACTATGTGAAATTTATTCTTATTTATAATAAGCTCAAGTTGGGATTATAATTTTTTATGACTACATGGAGGTTATTTCTATATAGAGTATCACTATAGAAATGTTTTACTATATATAAGATATGGTTCAAACTATTGTAACAAAAAATTTTGACTTAATTTGAGACATAAATTTACCACCCTCCATCTAAATTTAATCCAATGGTTCAAAGATACTTGAACCAAAAAACATTACATGTTACCCACACTCTATTATTTCCCTAATCTAAAAGAAACTCTCATTTATGATATTGCACTTTCACAACTCAATCAACAAATACTTTCATTCAATCACATAAGCCTGAATTTTGGGAGAAAAAAAAATCAACCGTGGAAGAAAAATTGAACGGTGGTCTTTGAAAGTGTTGTGTGTGATTTTTCCACCAAGCTCGGGGTTCCGCGAAGATGTTGCTCGACCCAGGATCAATCCGACTCCACCAATTGTCCAACCCAACACAAGCTCGTCAACACATAGCTTGACCCAACATAAGTTAGTTGTGAACAACCCGAATGATCATTCAAACAATTCCCAGATATCTTCAGATCCTAAATATTGCGGGAATGACTAAATCAACATCAATCTTTGTACAATCACAACGCCCAATCGCGAGAATATCATAATCGCAGTTCAGATAAATTGTAATCCATTTATTTTCGCTCTTTCCTTTGTACAAGCCTCGTATATAAACCCCCTCAAATGATGAAAAAAGGGTTATGACTTTGACACAGAATTCTCATTGTAAGCTCTCACAGCAAATACAAAAAACAGTAGACGTAGGCTTAAGAGTTTACCTCGCCAAACCACTTTAAAAATTCTTGTTGCCATTTACTTTATTGCATTCAATACTTGACTATTGCTGATTATCTGTAATCACACGCACATCAATTCTGATTCCACCAAAGTCGATTGGAATTCTCTGGTTGCTGTAGATTTCTGTATTAATATTTTGGCACTAGAAGGGGGGCCCACCGCCAACATCACAGCAATTCCTATGAAAAATGCGACAATATACCCAATCCAAGCCCACAATGGCGCACACCAGGTCAAAGACCACCATCGAAAATCTTGAGAATGTGGAGACCACCCATCAGGAGGTACAACAGGACGCTTGTAACAACTGCTGTAAACTACTACAATGCATACATAATAATAATAGAAAATGGGCCCAAAACTTTTTTTTTTTTTTATTATATGTAATAAGTCTTTTATACACAAAGAGCATTATTTACAAAATGCCATTTAAAAAGACAAAAACAGGGGAAACAGTGTAGCTATTGCTCCTCGCTTGCCGACGCCCCTCCAACTGCATCATTACCTAGATCCTGCATCCACAAAGGAAAAATAACGGGGTGAGCACAAAATAATGCTCAGTAAGTAAACCCTCTATCTGTCTATCCCTGTATGTATTTTTCTTAATTCTTTCCTCACACTTTCTGTTGTTTTCTACTAAACGTCATGGCCTCATTTTACCGGAGGTACGGCCGGATGGCGTTCACACAACACCATCTCACTCTTCATGACTGTCGGGTGGAGTTCACACAGTACCAACCTGCTCTTAGTGACTACCGAGTGGGGACACGAAGCACCTACCCGATTTTCGTAACTATCGGGTGGAGACCACAAAGCACCTACCCGTTCCTCATGACTTTCGGGTGATGATCACAAAGCATCAACCCGTTTCTAATAACTATTCGGGTGATGATCACGAAGCATCAACCCATTTCTAATAACTGTCGGGTGATGATCACAAAGTATCAACCCATTTCTAATGCTCTTTTCATTCACTCTACCCTTAGAGTAGCTGCATTCACAAAGTTCTCTACTCATTAAGCAAGTGCATACACAAAGTTTTCTACTCTTTCTTAAATCACTTCTCAATGCACAATGAATGCCTATGGATGGTTCATCTCCACTAATGCACTTATGAAATGCCAACATGCAATGTTGCAAGAATTAAGGTTCACTACTCATACTCAAACCTCTATTAGGCATTTCATCAAACAACTCAAGTGCATAACAAAACTCTACTAT